AGTAGTGTCGACAACAAGGTCTGGCTCTTCAGACTGGCCAGCTGGTGCGGTCGTACATCGACCGTTTCTCTGACAGGCTAAAACTATAGAGAGTTGGTATTTTCAATATCTCATTTGTGCGGTACGCAAGCTAATTGTGCGGCCGCATTGCTCTTTTGCTACAGCACCCCATAATTGTGCGGTCTGCATAAATCAACTACGGTCCGTAATTCTTAGAGCACTTAACCAAAATTTTGGTCCACAATTCCTGTAAGTCACACTCAGCCGTGTAGCACACTTCAAATCAAGTTAGAACAAAAATAACGCCTAACTACAAAAGAAAAGAAAACAAAAGGAAAAGAAACATGGGTTGCCTCCCAAGAAGCACCTGATTTAACGTTGCAACACGACGCAGAATACCATCAATTGAAATGAATGACTGCCACGACGTGACTATCTCCAACCTTTCCCAAATAGTGCTTCACTCGGTAACCATTGACTCGGAATACTTTACTGTTTTTGTCCTTCAAGTCTAATGCACCAAAAGATGTTACACCCACAATTTCAAAAGGACCACTCCATTTAGACTTTAGCTTCCGGGAAACATCCTCAACCTTGAATTAAATAATAATACAAGATCGCTCACTTTGAACTCTTTGTTCCAAATGTATTTGTCATGAATATATTTCATCTTTTCTTTATACAAGGACGAACTTGCATAAGCATGGTGCCGGAACTCATCCAATTCATTCAAATATGCAACCCTCAAGTTAGCGGCTACATCTCAATCAAGATTCAACTTCTTTAGAGCTCACATAGCCTTGTGCTCTAGTTCCACCGGAAGATGACAAGCTTTGTCGAATACCAACCGGTATGGCGACATTCCGATAGGTGTTTTGTAAGCCGTCCGATAAGCCCATAATGCAACATCAAGCTTCTTGGACCAATCTATCTGATTAGCATTCACCGTTTTGGACAAGATACTCTTTATCTTCCGATTGGAGACTTCCACTTGCCCACTAGCTTGTGGGTGATAAGGAGTCGTAACTTTGTGAGTAACACCATACTTGAAGAGAACTCATCCGGAATGATTCCACACATAAGAAAATTTGCTAGATCCGCAAACCATGGCACCTCTTTCATTGAAATAGCCAAGAGTTGCTCATCGGGGAATGAGTCATTGATTTCAAGGCTATCATGCGGCCTCCCCTCCTCCTCCAAATGAGACAAGTGGTCCGCCACTTGGTTTTCACTCCCTTTTTTTATCTTAGATGTCAATATCAAACTCTTATAACAAAAGAAATCATCTCATCAACCGAGCTTTGCAGTCCTTCTTGCTCATAAGATACCGAAGCGCCGCATGATCCGTATGGACAATAACTTTTCTACCCATCAAGTACGGGCAAAACTTCTCAATTGCAAACACAATGGCAAGGAGCTCTTTCTCCGTAACGGTATAGTTAACTTGGGCACTATTCATAGTCTTACTAGCATAGTAGACCGGATAAAAATTTTGTTAATGCGTTGCCCCAAAACAGCCCCAACTGCTACGTCACTTGCATCACACATGAGTTCAAAAGGGACACTCCAATTTGGAGCGGTGATGATGGGCGTAATTGTCAACTTGAACTTCAACAATTCAAAAGCTCTCATGCAATCATGATTGAAGTTGAACTTATCATCCTTCTCAAGAAGCTTGCACAACGGATTCACCACCTTAGAGAAATCTTTAATGAAGCGCCGATAAAAACCCGCGTGGCCTAAGAAACTCCGTACACCCTTCACCAAAGTTAGAGGTGAAAGTTTAGAAATCACCTAAATCTTTGCCTAGTCAACTTCAATTCCATTCTTTGAGATTTTGTGGCCAAGGACAATGCCTTCCTCGACCATGAAATGACATTTCTCCCAATTAAGCACCAAGTTTGTTTCTTCACATCTAGCTAACACTTTATCCAAATTTGCAAGACAAACATCAAAAGAATCTCTAACAACCGAGAATTCATCCATAAAAACTTCAAGGTAGTCCTCCACAATACACATCAATTAGAGATATGATACAGTCATATGCAACTATGAGTCGGGTCGAATCCACTGAGAGTTATAAGGGATGTGAGAAGTAGATATTTGAAACAAGCGAATGGACTACCTAAAATTGCACTTCCACAACAGAGTTTTGATTTCTACTTCTACTATTACTCTAATGATAGCAAACAAAGGTAAATAGACTAGAGATGAATGTTTTTGATGTTTTACCAAATAGTTTAAAGGCCTAGGGATGTGACCATAACATAGGTGTTTGCCTAATGGGATAAAGATGTTAATACTTATTTTGTTGATTGGGGTGTATTATAGCTCTCAACTCTACATTACCCACTGAATACCTCTCGGTCAAAGAGTGATTTTACCCAATTTGGCTTTCTCAAGTCCAAATAGGTATCAAGCAAAATAGTTTATATGAGCTCAAGTCGGGATCTTACTAACTCTAGTTGGAATACTTTAATTAGGCTAATCAATCTCTCAATTAATTCAATTCCTTATTAGCCAAGTTATCCTAGACTAGGTCCTTCATTCTCAAGTAGAGACTAAGTCAAATAGGCATGAATCAATATTTGCAACCATTAATTCTAAAATTGAAGCATGAGCTAAGCTAAATAATCCCTAATCATAAACAAGCATTAAATTAAATACCCATAAGGTTTATACACTACGGGTGGGTCACAACCCTAGTAAAATTCTAGCTGTTCATAATGGAAATTGAAGAAAATAAAGAAGAAAAGATAATTAAACTCGTAATGAAAGATTAAAATCATGAAAATTAATGTTTAAACACTAAAATAATGTCAAACTTCCTAAAGTAGTAAAATGAAACGGCTGCAACAACTTTTAATGTTCAAACTTGGCCTAAATATGTGAAACTCGTCTATTTATACTGGGCCAAAAATTACGGATAAAAATGCCCCTCGGGAGGTTCTGCGGCCGCACAATTGCATGTGCGGTCCGCAGATTTCTTCAGCTGGCAGGAAGGTGAGTTTTTGCAGTCGCACATTTTTGGATTGCGGCTGCGAAGCAACTTCTGTGGCTGCACAATTCTTGTGCGGTCCGCACTTCACAAAGGCATTAGGACTTGGTCTTTTTTTTTGCATATTCTCTGAACTTTGAATCTTTGTCAGTGAAAGCCCAGTTCTGCGGCCGCACAATTCATGTGAGGTCCGCACATTGCAAAAACTCTTGTTGGGTTCTGTTGCTTGGCTTGCGGCCGTAGATGGAATTCTGCGGTCCGCAATTTCTTCTGTGGACCGCACGCACATCTTTGCTTTTGCGCCCTTTATTGCCTTGTGCCTTGGAACACTCTTTTTTAGTCGGATTTCATCATGGGAGACCAAATTTCCAGCATTCCTGGAATTTTCACAATTTCATTAGTTTCGGGAACACAATTCAACACTTTCGGACTAGAACAAAAGCTAAAAGGTGCTAATAAGCAGTCAAAATCCCCACTTATCATTCGTGATGAACAAAATAAACTTCTACCAAAAATACTCTACGCGTTCGCGGCATAGTCCTCGTGAACACGATGCACAACAGCTCCAACCTTACGCGATCGCTTCAGCTACTTTCACGAACATGAAGACATTCTCCCTAGTCCCCAGCTTCTCTTCTCAACTCAATGCGAATACGAGCATAAAGACGTGAATGCGATGCCCATGCCTCACAAAGGTACGCGAACGTGATAGAACAATCGCGAACTCGAAGAATTAAAAAGGCCAGCTCTCATAATATACTACGCGATCGCGACCCAATCTTCGCGGTCGCGGATAAAGCCTGAAACACCAGAATTCAGCACTGCCAAAGAACATGGAAATGGTCCGAAACACGTTCGCAACTTACCCTAACCCCTCGGGACCCCGTCCAAATATACCAATAAGTCCCATAACATAACACGGACATACTCGAGGCTTCAAATCACGCATAACAACATCGAAACGACGAAGCGCACCTCAAATCAAATATAATGAACTTTGAATCTTTCAATTTTCAAAACTCATGCCGAAACATATCAAATCAACCCGCAATGAACTCAAAATTTGCACACAAGTTTCAAATAACATAACGAAGCTATTCCCATTTCCGGAATCACAATCCGAACCCGATATCATCAAAGTCAACTCTTGGTCAAACTTATCAACATTTCAAATCCTAAAATTTCCAACTTTCGCCAATTAGCGCTGAAACCTTCTAGAAATATCCAAATGCAAATTCGGGCATTCCCCCAAGTCCAAATACCATCCGGACCTAACGAAATTATCAAAACTCCGAACCGAGTTCAAATACTAAAAAGTCAAACTTGGTCAATTCTTCCAACTTAAAGCTTCAAACATGAAATTCATTCTTCCAAACTAATTCTGAAACACCTGAAAACCAAAACCGGAGATACACACAAGTCGTAATACATCATACGGAGCTACTCATGCCCTCAAACCACCGAGCGAAGTGCAAATGCTCAAAATGACTGGTCGGGTTGTTACAGGTTAGGTGTCATCACGACTAGTTGGATTTTGGGTCGTGACACCTCTATTAGTAGATTATGATTTTAGTGCTTTTAATATTTGACTAATTGTATTTAACCTTCAATTAAATGAAATGTAAGTTTTTGGTCCCTTTATGAGTTTAAGTAGGAAATAGTGTGTTACACTCTCCTTCAATTAAATGAAGCAAGAAACATGCAGAAAAAACTTTGCAACTGGGGTTTTTGATTTAGTGATAAGAGTGTAACGCTTAATGCGTGAGTTAAACAGATTCATGAATTCAAATCCTATCACAAACAAAAGCTTGATAATTTGCAGAAAAGGGGAGAGAGGAGGGCCTATTATCTACCGAATTTCGAACCGTGTGTCACTAGCCCTCAGGTATTTCTCGGCTATCAAATAAATTACTAATCCTTAAAACTACTGTCAGTAAGGAACTGTTTTCCTATTACTCACTCAGTACTCTTCAATGAAGATAGACGACTAATGGGATCGACAAATACAAAACACAATATACTTAGAGCAAACCAGAGATCAGTGAATCAATATCAAGAAAAGTAGCTTAACTGCTCACATATACAAACAATAAGTGGAAGATTAAGTATATCCTTTCTAGGGAATAAACTTGGTATAGTCACAACAGTATATTTGCAGTTATTACTGTCTTCTTCCATTCCTCAAATAATCCATTCTAATTGCCCAAAGCTGCTCCCCAACAATCTTCATATCGGGGCGATCTTTTCGTGTAGGTGCTGCACACTGGATAGCTAAACCAAACATTTTCACTAGTATCTCCCCGTTCACGGATTCCTTCAATTGAGGGTCCAACATTTCCAACACGCATCCTTCATTGTATTTCCTAAAAGCCTGCATATACATGTTATATTTGTACCCGATAAGTTAATATATGGATTAGTTTCTGTTGTTATTTGAAAAACTATATGTTTTCGTTATCTAAGTACTGGAGAAAGCAGCACACACAGTGAACACAATCAGCAGATCGAACAGAAATAATGCTAATCCTGCTATTAATTAACTTTTAACATAGACAATTGGATGACCCTTCGGGTTTGCCCAGTTGGTTTGGAAGACGGTCATCCATACGGATGACCTGGGATCAAATCCCCCTCAATGCCTTCTGGGTTGAGCCTGTCGCACATGGCTTGCCTAGTGCGGCTTACATCCCGTGTGTGGTTTGCAGGCTATTACACAGGGAGAGGTTTACCCGGTGCGCACCAAGTGTAGCGGCTGCGGGTTTCCCTCTTTAACCAAAAAAAAAAAAAACATAGACGATTGGACTCAAAGGCAGAGCCATGATTTGAAGCTTATGGGTTCGGAATTCGAGTTATTGGGTTCTAAATTATTAATTTGTACATAACTAATGAATATTTTAAGACAACCACAAGCTACTGGGTCTGGCCGAACCCGTAAAAGAAGCTCTAGCTCTGCCCTTGCTATTGCTAGAGCCAATAATCCAAGATTTACCCAAATTTAAAAGGAAAAAAATGAGTAAAGAGCTTACCCATCTAAGTGTCACCCTCTGATCAGGAGGTCTTTTAAGCTCCACAGGACGACGACCCGTTAAAACTTCTAATAACAACACCCCAAATGAGTAGACATCACTTTTTGGCGTGAGCTGATACGTTTTCATGTACTCAGGGTCAAGGTAACCAACAGTGCCTTTCACTTTGGTTGAAACGTGTGTTTTATCGGAGTCCGAGTCTCCAAGCCGTGCAAATCCAAAATCTGCAACTTTGCCACGCATGCTCTCTGTCAGGAGAATATTTGATGACTTGACATCTCTATGGATAATTTGCTTCTCTGCGGCAAACCAAAATAGGGTTGCGTCAAATCCAATGATCACGGCAGATCAAAATAGACGAAGGACCGAAACTAATACATCACTAACTCTGATCCTAACATAGAATCCTGGTTTACAAGAATGGATAATGGAAACTTGAACCTCAACACAGGAGTTGCCGCATAAATTATAGGGCAAAATATAAAATTGGCTGGTCAGCGAAAACTAATTGCATTCGCTAACCAAAAAGTGTATAAAATATATATATTTTGTGTATAATATACACATACGAAAAATATACATTTTGTCCGCTATTATTTTTAGGAGCGGCTAAAAATATACATCTATAAGTTATATATGGCTCAAAAGCTAAGGAAATAGCAAGATCTACACTAAAAGAATCTACCATGTCAATGTATCTAACAACAGTTAGCCTTAAAATTCCAATGGAGATTTGATCTTTTCTCTTTTCTTCATCTTTGTGTATTGATCACGTAAAGGAGTTTCAAGCACCGATAAACCATTGCTAACTAAGAAAAGAGAATAACTAGCGATGGACAGTAACATACCAGCATATAGATGGAGGTAAGTTAGGCCATGAGCAATATCAATTGCAATCTCAAGTCGCTGATTGAAATCTAAGATTTTTCCACGTCCACCTGCCAAAAGAAGAATAAAAAATTATTGCTCTCCACATTTTTACCATATGATGAAAGTTGTAGTCCGTGCACTAAGTTTATAAATGATATACCATCTAGATGTTCTCTTAGTGTACCATTAGGTACATACTCCGTAATGATGAGGCGTTCATTTCCCCTATCAACATAACCAAGAAGCCTAACTAGGTTACGGTGCTCAATTTTTGCCAAAAGCTCAACTTCACTTCTAAATTCATTGCTCAAAGAATCAAAATGTTCCTGCAAAATGTTCAGATATTAGAATTTCTCTCACAGATAAAATCAGATATATATAGCTAAAAATAAAAGGAACAAGAAAGAAAAGCCAATCTTTCATTCCTACACGTCAGAGTTCAAGAAATAAACTACATGAAAAGATAGCTAGAACCCAACCTATCAACCATGAGTAACCCCGACTACAATTTATGTGGTTTTTGTTTGTGGACTTCTTAATTTCACTTGCAAAAAATATTTTTGAATTTGGGGTTTATTTGAATTTTTTATTTGGGAAAAAGAAAATTTCTAGTTCATGTTTTGAAAAGTTGTGGTTGGAAGTGTATTTCAAGCGAAGTTTTTCAAATCTAAGATGTCCACTTGCAACTCTTCAATTTCCAAAAAAATCTTTTCAAAAAACTAAAACTACTCAGATTTCAGCATCCACAAGCGTTTTTCCAATTTCAACATCAACTTCAAATGTCGTCCAAACGGCTCATAATGTCACATTCAGGTTGAATATATACATGAATCATCAGTGCTTCCACTTCCGCCAACAAGGTCACGTCCTCTGCACCCCCAACCCAAACCACTCCAAAAAGAAAAGATTAAAAAGGGGAGAAAATGGAGAGCAAGAGAAGGAAAATACTTCTCAAAAAACCCTTCTAACTCAAATTTTCAACATCTCATCTAATTCCATAGACAATTGGTTCTCAACATGAGGAAGCAAAGTACACTGTAGAGAAGCAGCCAGCTAACTGCCCCCTTCCCCTCAGCCATTCTTTGCTGCACGGATAAGGTTTTGGTTTGAATGGCCATTTTGGACAGGTTATAGTAAGTCCCTTTCTCAAAATTCGATCTCCTTCCCTTTGTCCCAAAATCAGAGTTCATGTCTCAGTTCCTAAGTTAACTTGCACATGTGTCACAACCTAGTGTGTCTATTGTTCTCCTTTTGCAACTTAGATCTTTCTTCTGAATAAGCTATGTAAATTTGTCCGAACTAACTTTATCCTGCCTTTCCTCCTCTCACACGGAAAAAAAAAATCGAAAAGGGTACAGCAATTACTAGGTTAGTTCAGAATTTCAGAAGCTATGCCTTCTACAATAATATTAGTCCAATCAAAAGACACAATCATAGATAAAAACTAGCGACATAACTTCAAATGTGTGAGTTCTTTGCCTAAAACAGAGGAAGTCAAATAAGAAAACAGAGAAAGCATAAAAGTCAAATAAGCAAATTATCTTCAGAAAACCTAAATCATGAACTACTTTGTTGTGAAAGAATTATTCTATGACCAACAAGATTCTTCACATTAGAGAAACTATCTTATGTTTGTAATCTAGTAGGTGATAAATAGCACTTAACCTAGTAATTGAGCTTGAAACTAAAACCATGAATTGTTGTCCCACTTCTGATTTCTAAACTGGTAATTATCATCGTAGAAGGTGCATTATGGTCCAACATTCTGCTTACTTAAGCAACTCTCCTTTCCGTGGAAAAGATCTGTCTTTATGCCCCCTAGGGTTAACTGAATTGGCAAAGGTTGAGGGACTTGTGGCTTAGGTTGGCGCAAACTACCTCTGGTATTTAAGTAGAGAAATATGCGATTGGTAGGGGGGCATCATCCCCGAGTTACGAAGGCTGTGGTTGGCCCAAAAGGGTTGGCTCTGGATGGATTTCTCGGTCATCAAGAAAACAAAAAGAGCTGTCTTTTTACTCCCTTAAACGCATGCGTCGGTATTCGAATCTCTTCGTCATTGTTTTATTTATACTTGCGCAGTTTCAAATGACTAGATAAGAAAACACCCTCAGAATTTATGAAGGTAAATTGCAGAAAGGAAACGAATATGAGACGTTTCCTGATTAAGAAGTGCATATGCTGAGAGGCTTTCACTGAACTTAAAGATGCAAGTAAATTCTATTAACTCACTCCCTTAAATTGTAGAGATCAGTCAAAGGGAAGTAGGAAATTTATTTTGCCTTTTCATGCTGTATAAGTTAATGCAACTTCGACATATAGTGAATAGCTTCCTTTTTCACGGTTTTTCTGACAAATCATCAAATTATCGTGACATATACAAGATTTGCAGATTCAAGATCAGGTGACTAAATGGTATCTTACCTTCTTTGCGCGTTTAATGGCAACTACTTGACCATCCGGTAGTTGAGCTTTGTATACCGTTCCAAACCCTCCCTCTCCAATTTTTTGGGACGGAGAGAAATTTTGGGTAGCTCTGAGAGCCTGATTCACGTTGAGGTGAATGGAGCCAATTCTATTGAGTTTCGGAGACATGCTAAATCTAGAGGGACTAGGCGGCACTCGAAGTGGACTAGCTGGCACTCGTAGCGGACTGCCTGGTGCCTTTTCAGGAACAAAATTCATCTCCATGGAGGAAGCAGAGTCCACTGCAAAGGTAATGCAATTTCTTTATGAACAACCACCAAAACCAACAAAGCAGCAATTATCAGTAGTGGCGGAGCCTGGGTTTACATTAAGGGGATTCAAAATATAAAAAATAAATACATGAAAAAATCAAGGGGATTCAACATATACCATATATACATAAAAGATAATTTTGACCTAGTAAAATAGTGTAATTCCCCGGAAAAGGGGGTTCAAATGAACCCCTTTCCGCCTCCCTAGCTCCGCCTGTATCAGCGCTCCAGCAGAGCTTCCAAAATTGATTATAAGTAAAATAGTGTAAATAGATTATACATAAAAGATAATTTTGACCTAGTAAAATAGTGTAATTCCCCGGAAAAGGGGGTTCAAATGAACCCCTTTCCGCCTCCCTAGCTCCGCCTGTATCAGCGCTCCAGCAGAGCTTCCAAAATTGATTATAAGTAAAATAGTGTAAATAGATTATACATAAAAGATAATTTTGACCTAGTAAAATAGTGTAATTCCCCGGAAAAGGGGGTTCAAATGAACCCCTTTCCGCCTCCCTAGCTCCGCCTGTATCAGCGCTCCAGCAGAGCTTCCAAAATTGATTATAAGTAAAATAGTGTAAATAGATTATACATAAAAGATAATTTTGACCTAGTAAAATAGTGTAATTCCCCGGAAAAGGGGGTTCAAATGAACCCCTTTCCGCCTCCCTAGCTCCGCCTGTATCAGCGCTCCAGCAGAGCTTCCAAAATTGATTATAAGTAAAATAGTGTAAATAGATTATACATAAAAGATAATTTTGACCTAGTAAAATAGTGTAATTCCCCGGAAAAGGGGGTTCAAATGAACCCCTTTCCGCCTCCCTAGCTCCGCCTGTATCAGCGCTCCAGCAGAGCTTCCAAAATTGATTATAAGTAAAATAGTGTAAATAGATTATACATAAAAGATAATTTTGACCTAGTAAAATAGTGTAATTCCCCGGAAAAGGGGGTTCAAATGAACCCCTTTCCGCCTCCCTAGCTCCGCCTGTATCAGCGCTCCAGCAGAGCTTCCAAAATTGATTATAAGTAAAATAGTGTAATTCCCCGGAAAAGGGGGTTCAAATGAACCCCTTTCCGCCTCCCTAGCTCCGCCTGTATCAGCGCTCCAGCAGAGCTTCCAAAATTGATTATAAGTAGATAGAAAAAAATTAATGTCATTGGAAATTTTCATCCGACAGTACTTAAAGTAAACTTATCTTCAGAAGAATGAAAACAGCTATAAACTGAATATGGAATTATTGAACATTGAAAAGGTTAACTCACTTGAATTAGGATCCTTTACAAGAGCAGATTGATCCGTTTCCTTCTTCCTTGCACGAAAACAAGGGCAAATTAAGCCGCAGCAAAGAATAAAAAAAACTGGTATCGCCATGACCAACTTTTGGGGGGTTACTGAAAAATCATCAGCACGTTTTTCCTTAGGCTTCCGTGCTGCTGTATCATCAAAATTGTGTTCGCTGGATTCTTGTCTGACCACCTTTTGTAGAAATTTTCTTCCCGACTTGAAATGTAACTCATCTGCAAGATGGTTTGGACTCTACTATATCACTATAGAAAATTATAAACCGCGATATCCAATAGAAGCAATTAGGAAAAATACATAGAAATTAAATGGTTTCTAATGAAGAACATCTCAGAAGGATTTGTTGGAAAGACATTTGAAAACAATATTGTAGCATATACGAGTGCATACCAATTGATAAGTCCAATCCACAATATTGAAACCCAAAATTTTGGATAAGGCAATGTTCTGCACGATCAAATTTGAGGGTGTCGCAGAATAAAAGTTTATCTACTAATATGCCGTTCACGTAAAATACTTGGCGATTTAGATCATCTGAATAGTCGACACGGTAAATTCCACAAGCTTCTTCATGTCCCAACAGCGGAGAAGCAAGAATTAGTGGGAACTGCACCAGCAATAGTATACACAGCACAAGTACAGCCATTTTCAGCAAAAAATGACATAATCACCCCACTTCATAAAACCAAAATACAACGGACCCATTGCAAATTCTTTAGCAGCCACAAGCAACAATATACAAGCCTCTTTTCCAGGTCAAGTCAACAATATCAGGAATTCAGATAAGCATTGATCAGGCAGGATCAAATTCCGCAATCAAAGTGACGAAAGTCAACTTTTTTTTTTCTAAGTTCCAATTGGACTAAAGTGGAAACTACCTCAAAAACCAAAATAACTTAACAGTCCAGATGCTTTCAGACTTTTTCAGCTAAACAACAGGAAATCCAGATTCAATAATCAACTCACTTCAAAATTCCAACAATAATCCAGCTGTGTCAATTAGAAATTGAAAGCCTCAGAACTCAAAAACCAAGACTTTCCAAAGTTTCAGATTGGAATCTCTATTTCTCTTTGTATTACCAAATCAAGAAATGAACCTGAAATAAGACAGCTAACTCCAAGAGATAATTCTTCTATACAGACAGCAGAGAAGAAGATTCAATCACATACCCAATTCACCAATCACTTAAATAGTACAAACCAGATCAATAAAACCTCAAAAACCCAAATACCCAATTCACAAAAAGCTTGAATCTTTACAATATGGGCATAAAGGGAATTAAAACTTTATCTTACCCTCTTCACCAAACAACCCAAATAGACAGATCAGATCAAGAAATCCTCAAAAACCTAAACACCCTCCAGTTTTTTTCACAAAAATGGTAAGTAATTAACTTTGTCCACCCACTTAACCAAACAACCAAATTAAATAAACACTGATTAATTACTCTGCAGTTGAAGTACTAAGAGAAACAAACCTGAAAGACAGGCGGCTAAGGTACTTGTGGAAATATAGAGAAGTACTAAAAGATTAGATCTTTTTTAGTAATTTATTCCAAAAGAAAAATCAAAATAAAGACCAATATTTGGTTTGGCAAAGAAGCAGAGAAGGTGAGGGCTAGTGAGGTCAAATATGGGCTGTCACTACGTAATATATGAAGTCAATGCATGCGTATGCATTCAGACGGCTAACTGCTGGGAATTGTTGACCGTTAGAGACGCTCTCTTCTTGGATTTGTTTTTGTCCCTTTCTTTCTTTACGTTACCTCTAAATACAAGTTACCCAAACATGGTCTTTCTTCTCCTTCTCTCTCTGTTTCTTTTGTTTAATGGCTTTAAATTATATATATGGATAATGTAACAGTAGGGGTATCAAATGGACGGGTAGGGTCAGATATATTACATGGTGCTTTCCTGAGATCTCTTAGAAGGGTGATGTAAGGCTAAGCAACCGATGTCCATGCGGTTACTATCCGCCAACTGATGTCCCCTCCGTACGCTAGACGAGACTGTCAGTGGCGTACAGGAAAAATGATGTCAAGAGCAATTGAGAGAATAGAAAAGAGAATGAGAATGAAAGAAAGTTTGATTGCATTAATGAAAGTTATTTCAGAAAGGCAACACGGTGTCGAGGGAGAGACATCAATATAGATAATTGTTTGCTTGGTTGAAAGTTTGACCACTCAATCCCCCTAATAATGCTTTAAAAAAATAAATCAAAGTTACAGGACTGAATAACTAAGCTAAAGAATCATAATAAAAAATACAGAAAGTAAAACTATTTTATATTTACAACAAAAAAGGCTTAGATTCCTACAAGGTAGAAGCAGGTCTGTTGGCGGCAACCTTGTCTTTAGCATTAGGGTTTGTGCACGCGGCGCTGGCCGCAGGGCATGGGTCGATTGCGCTGACAACGTGAGCGTGCTGGGGTCCATGGTGTTAGGTGTTGTGAGGCTTGCCATGACACCATGGGGCGCGTCCAGTCATGGAGCGTGGCTGGAAAGCCGCCCATGACATTCTTCCCCACTTGTGTTGGCGACGTCCTCGGCGCCTTACTTGCAAGATAATCATTGATCAGTCTCTTATAGGCTTTGCGATTTGTTTCCCTCTCCCAAGTATTCTCCTACAGCCCTGCCATTTCACCAAGAACTCTTGGTGATCTTTTCTTGAAGCGTGAATCACTCGAACATAGAGAATAGCTTCAGTACGCTTTTTCCCGATTAAATTAGCGCCTCGAATACTGGGTATTGTGAGTTGGCTCTACGAAGGATCCTCCATGTCTTCCCGAAAAGGTAAGGCTGACATGGATGACTAGATGAATCTTCCACCAGGATGGGGTATCCACTTGGTATGCAACTTTTTCAATGTGTATCTCAATGGACAAGGGTCCAATGTACTTTTGCAATAGGCGAGGGTCATGGACCCCTGCAACAAGTATCGCTTTGGGATTTTCACCATCACTTTGTCTCCTACTTGGTATTCAAAAAAGCGATGATTTTGATCAATATGCTTTTTCATACACTTTTTTGCTTTCACCAGATAGCTCTGCACTATCTCCAAATTTTACTTCCATTATTTCGAGAAGTTAGTGGCTCGAGGAGATTTCGACATGTTTGGGACATTCATAGTGTATGGGAGTACGGTTGATGTCCGGTAACAATTTCAAAAGTGTTTCTGTTTGTACTAGAGCTCTTTTGTGAATTAAAAGACAATGGAGCAGTATGCAGAAGTTGCACCCAATTCTTCTGTGATCTGATAACAAAATGGCGGAAGTATTCCTCCAGCATGCCATTAAACCACTATGTCTGACCATCAGATTGCGGATGGAAACTTGAACTGTGGCTCAACTTGGACCCGAGGAACTTAAAGAGTTGAGTCCAAAAGTTGCTAGTGAAGCGAGAATCGCGATCACTAACGATGTCTTTAGGTAGGCCCCAATATTTGACAACATGAGAGAAGAAGAGTTGAGTTGTATCTTCTGCTGATATATATTTTGGGGCTGCTATAAATGTAGCATATTTGGAAAACCTATATACCACAACACAAGATAGTTGTAAGATCTTCGACCATGGGCAATCCGGTGATGAAATTTTGGAATAGGCAATGGCTCCAAAAGTCCAGCTTGTGTCAAATGATCGGACTTGCCTTTCTGGCATATTAGGCAAGTCTTCACATACTGCGCAACATCTTCTGCCATTTGAGGCCAATAATAAGCACGATGCAACAATGTCATGGTGTGTTCTTCCCCTAGGTGGACGACCCACAAAGTATCATGGAATTCTATCAGAAGGTTCCTTCACATATCTCCTCCTTTAGGAACATAAAGTCGGTTCACTTACACGTTTAGGAACCCTCTTCCATGTAGAACTGGCGAGTCTAGCCTTGTCCTTCCGGGTCAACCAAATATTGTACAGAAGGATCCTTCGTGAGTAGATCATGTATCTTGTCTTTTATAGTGGTGGCCACTTCACCCACTCCATGTGATGACCCGATAGGTCACTTTGAGTTTTAGCCTTCATTTCTATATTTTGTGACCTCGAATAGATCTATTTAGCCTTCCTCGATTTACGTGCTTAGTTTATGTCTTTTTCGGGAAATATTTATGTGAAAACTGAAGAAAATATGAAAGTTTGCCTTAAAACTCATTTGAGTTAACTACGGTCAATATTTTGTGTAAACATGCCCGCGTTAGTATTTTGACGGTCCCGGTGGGTTCGTATAATGACTTGGGACTTGGGCGTATGCCCGAAATCGAATTCGGAATTCCCTAACTTGATTTAACATAATTTGATGAAAACTAGTAAATTGAAGGCTAAAAGAATTCTTAAGTTTGATCGTAGGCTGACTTTGTTGATACCGGGTTCATATTTTGGTTTCGAAACTTGGAATAAGTTCATTTCACCATTTATGACTTGTATGCAAAATTTGGTGCAAAACGGAGTTGCTTTGACATGATTCGGACGTCCAGTTGTAAATTTGCATGTTCTTGAGTTTCTTTGAAATTTTCATACACTTTTGATGTCTGATTCATAGTTTTAGGTGTTATTTTAGTGTTTCGATCGTGCGAGCAAGTTCGTATGATATTTTTGGACTTATATTCATGTTTGGTTTGGAGTCCCGAGGGCTCGGGTGAGTTTCGGACACGTGGCGGGGTGTTTGATAGAGTTAAGATTCTGCTGATGTTTTTGCACAGGCCTCAGTTCTCACAATTGCGAGTTAAGGATCGCATTCGCGATAGTAGCGCGAGCTCTGTCACGTTCGCAATTGCGAACAGATTCTTCACATTTGCGATAGGGTGCTGGGGTGGGCTAGTTCGCATTTGTGATCAAAGTGGTCGCATTGGCGGAATGTCCCATGTTCGTATTTGCGAACAAAAGCATTACATTTGCGATGGCAGTAGAGATGTGAGTTCTTCGTATTTGCGATGGATTTCTTGCATTTGAGTCGCGCCTGGACAAAAAGTTGAGGGACAGGATTTTAGCCTTACTTCTCACATTTTGGAACCCTAAACACCCGAGAGGCGATTTTCTAAGAGGAATTTCTTCCCAAAAACATTGGTAAGAAACTTTAATCTATTTCTTTTCAATTGCCCATTACTTTCCAAGTTTTTTCAACATTAAATCTAGGATTTTTATGGTACAAATTAGGGATTTTGGTAGAATTGGGTGTTTTTGTAAAATTGAGATTTAGACCTCAAATTGAGGTCGGATTTCAAAACTAATCACATAATCGGGCTCGGAGGTGAATGGGTAATTGGGTTTTGGTCTGAATCTCAGGTTTTGACCATGCGATCCCGGGGTTGACTTTTGTTGACTTTTTGGGAAAAGTATAAAGATCTTTGATTTATCTATTGTAATTTATTTCTCTAGCATTATTTGATGATATTGAGTCGATTTTGGTTAGATTCGATTAGTTTGGAGGTGAATTTTAGAGGAAAGGCCCCAGTTGAGCTTTGGTTTGATTGCGGAGCGAGGTAAGTGTTAGGTCTAACCTTAATTTGAGGGAATTAGGAACCTTGAACTATATGTTATGTGAATTACGTGTGTAACGGCGTATATGCAAGGTGACGAGTGTATATACGCCGTCAAAATAATTATTTTCCATGCTTTCCCGTATTTCATTAATTATCTTATTCCATATCATAATTATTACATGCTTTAATTGCTTTCTATGTTGTAACTTGTTACTTGTCATTTATTTACTCTTGCATGGGTCCTTCTTCTTACAGTTGTCGGTAGTGTTTCCCGCAATGGCGACATCCTGAAGTGGGCTTCCTCCCCCGATCAATTGTTGTGAGTAACAACACTATTGTTGCCTGCGGAAGGAGTCTTAGATTTGGTAACACTCTGATCTCCTCCACTTCTGCTAGGGCCACCATTTCTAGGTTGTCCCCCTTTGTATCCTCCTTGGATAGGCAGTTGAGGCATATCCTTCCGAGCTTCCATTTGGTAGTCCCCAGGGCATTTTGCTGCTTGGATCGTCATGGGTAGATTATTTACCCTTTGTCTTTGCAGCTCTATACGGGCATATGAAGAGTTTGTCTTTGTCCCTCATACTCTCGAACTGACTTTGTCTGGCAGAACTCCCAGAGCTTTCTCCGTGCATTGTACTCAATATTTTCGGGGAAGAACTGTAAGTGTATGGCTGTCTTCAAGTCTCCCCATGTCTCAAGAGTATCTTCACGGCCCTGATGGCTTCATATTTTACCCGCCACCATAGTTTAGCATCACCCTCAAGATACATTGCAACAGTTGCTACCTTTTTCACTTCTTCTAACTCCCCACGGCATCGAAGTACTATTCGATGTCTAAGATAAAGTTCTCCACTTCCTTGGCATTCCGAGCCCTATTGTAGGGCTTTGGTTCAGGAATCTTCAGCTTTTATGGCACATGAGCAAGGTTCACAGCATCCCCTATATGGTTTCCGCCTCCTCGGAGTATGCCTTGTAATGCAGCGTTAACAATATTGTGTTGGCCCGTCAAGTTATCTATGGTTTGTTGCATAGTAGTCACCTTGTTTGCCTCTTGTGCCCTATAGGCTAAATCTTCGGTACGCTCCTGTTGGAGCCACTCGAATTTACTAAAAATTTAGGCTTCCTCTGTAGTTGCCATTTGCCGGTCTCCTTCAAACTCGCGGTTGATGTTTACTATGTCTCCTTCGGCCTGCCGAATTCTGCTGTCTAAGTCATCCAACATTTGCACTGGGT